TGTGGTGCCTTCCTACTCGGCACTGGTGGATATTACACACATGGACTGCACAGCCCACTCAGGTTTGCAAGAGCTTGAATTCACTGTTACCATGCAGCAGGGGCTTCTGGAACCTGGTAAGTAAAGGTGTGGGGGGGGTCTTCCCTGATCCTCAACCAGGCTGAGTCCTGGGCTTCCTTCCTGCCCTGGGATCCCCGAGGCCCTGAAACAGCTGAGGTCTGCGCCGCCATCAAGGTGAGACCAGGGCTGTGCTCAAGGCACTTGGGGACCGTCCCTTCCACTCTGGCCTGCTCTGCCTTGGTCTAGTCTTTATCTACACTGGGACACCCTCAAGGTGTCAATGTCCTGTTTGGACTTTGGCAAATGCTCCCTTAGAGGCTCAGCAGGAGTGTGGTTCCCACACTGAGCATGAGGACATCCAGCTTTCGGGGTCTAACGTCTTTCCCAGGACAGACAGTGGCTCTTTGTGGAGCTGGTGGGACGCCAGTCAGTCTGTAGCAGGGCCTGTGTTCTGCCTTGTCCCCTAGATTTGCAGTGAGGCCACAGGTCAGGGGACACTCAGCACATCTGAGCACAGGTCAGAACTGTCCCAGGCAGCCGAGGCCTCCCTCTGTCACTGTGGGAAGAGGAGAGGAGGCAGCGACCTCTTCCTCTTTCTGTGGGGCATGATGTAGACACCCCCGAGGGCCCAGCCAGCACATCCTGTCCCCTGTGTCCTCTGTGGGGCCCAGCTCCAGACAGGGAGGCTGCAGGACCTGAGCCATGGCCCCCTGCTCCATTGTCCTCCTGGCCCTTGGTGAGTCCTGGACGGTGGGGACTGGGTGGGTGGAGGTGACAGGGCAGGAACAGGTCCCTTCCCTGCACAGGCCTGAGCCCAGCAAACCCAGCACACTCTATGCCCTCCCCCGGGGCTGCCCTCACCTCTGCCCAGGCTCAGTGTGACCAGGGAGCACTGGGTCCTAGAGGCAGACACCTGGGTTGGGGACAGGCCCAGCCTTGGGAAGGACTGGGCAGCCAAGGGGCTCTTGGAAGGGGTCCTGGGAGGTCTCCCAGCCACCCCAGAGCAGGAAGAAGGCCACCCTGACCCTGGGAGCAGGTGGCCTGGGAAGCAGGGAGGCTGAGTGCCCAGGCTCCACCAGGCCCTGCTGGCCCAGCTCTGGGGGAACCGGGGTGCTCTTCTCACTGGGCTTCTCTTCCAGGGCTCTGCCTGGGCCAGGAGATCCACGCACAGGAGGGTGAGTGCAGGTCCCAGTCCTCCTCACAGGGGCAGCTGTGGACAGGGGCATGTGGATCCAGGAGCCTGGGGACCTTAACAGTGTCCCACGCGTGGGCACCCCAGTGTGGCCCCCAGCCAGGTCCCTGTGTCTCTGCCTGTCTCCTGTGGTTTCCTGGGCTGAGCACAGTGCTCTCCCCTGACATGGTGGCTGTGTGTCTGGGGACGTGGCAGGATGCTCTGATGGCCCACCTGGGCGTGGGTAGGTGGGGTCAGCAGGCCTGGCCTCTCCCACTTACCCGTGTTGGTGGAGAGCGTCCGTTCCTGCCCCTCAGCAGTTGTGCACCCCACACCGATACCAGCCACAGTCCCCACACAGGCCAGGGGCTGTCCTCCAAGAGGCCCCTGGACTCGCTCCACCTCTGGCTACAGTGTCCTGAGTGACAGGCACCTGGGCTTCTCCCACCCTGGGCCCTGTGGGTGGGGCAGGGGCCTGACACCTGTCCTAGGTCTCAGCCAGGTGCCCCATGTCCCAGGGAGCACAGCGCCACCTCCTCTGTGCCCTGATGTGCCCAGGGACACTTGTGCAGGGTCACAGCTAAGGACCTGGACAGGGTCTCCACCTGCCCGTCCTCCCTCCCCAGGAGACTGTGTCTGTGCCTCTTCTGCTCCTGAGCTGTCTGCACACAGAGGGGCTCTGAGTGGACAGACAGGGACCAGGACTGAGGAGATGAGGGGAGGAGATGGACTGGGTTGGCCCAAGGGTGGGACATTCCAGTGGGCAGAGGGGTCTGAGCAGGAGGCCAGCTGTGCAGCAGGTGACCAGCCAGCAAGTGCTAACAGACTGAGAAGGAGGGGACAGTGTAGAGGACACCCCGAGGCAGAGGCTCAGCAGAGGCCCCTGGACCTGGCCCAGGGCAGAGAGGGGTGGGCACAGACTCAACCTTGGGTTGTGCACCTAAATTTAATTTGTGGCACAGCCACTCTGCCCAGGATGCCCAGGTGCCTGTCACTCACGACACTGTAGCCAGAGGTGGAGGGAGTCCAGGGGGCCTCTTGGAAGAAAGCCACTGGCCTGCGTGGGGACTGTGGCTGGTAACGGTGTGTGCTGCACAACTGCTGCCCAAGAACCTTGGGCTGTGCACCTGAATTCAATCTGTGGCACAGCCACTCCTCCCAGTGGACGCTGAGCCGCTGTCTGCTTCCTCCCAGGGGCCCTGCCCAGACCCTCCATCTCTGCTGAGCCAGGCTCTGTGATCCCCCGGGGGAGGCCCGTGACCATCGTGTGCCGGGGCCCTGCTGGGGTTCAGGACTTTCGCCTGGTGAAGGAGGGAAGCTCCCAGATCTGGGATAAGAAGAACAGTTCACCTTCTGAGCGAGAGGCCAGGTTCCTGTTCCCCTCCATGAGTGAGGACACTGCTGGGCGTTATCACTGCCTCTACCTAAAGTCCACGTGGTCTGAGCTCAGTGAAGACTTGAGCCTGGTGCTGAGCAGGGAGGACGTCACCCAGGCCCCCACCCCAGTCCCAGGTCAGCCATCAGGTTGGTCCCCAGGTCCTGGACCCTGTCCCAGCTGCCATCCTGTCCACAGCCTCCTGCCCCCACCTGACCCCAGGCCCCTCCCTCTGCACAGTGTCCCCTCAGCCTTCATGCCCTGAGGTCCCTGGAGCCCTGGTCTCATGGGCCACTTTGGGTGATCTGGACACAGGTCCAGCATGGGGAGGGCATAGAGCTGGCTCTGCTGCTGGGTGGGGAGGGGTCCCCAGAGATGGCTGGGGGCAGACCCCTTCCAGAACAGTGTCTCTTCACTCAGATGGAGGGTTCACTGTCCTTCCCATGGGGCCAGAGCCTGGGTGGCTGAGGGTGACATCTGGTGTAGTCCCCTCCCACTGGGCAGGTCACCTGGCCCAGGGATAGCCCTGATCACGACTGGAAGGGGCACTGGGGAAGCTTTGGGATGTGATGGTCCATGTCCTGTGTGTGCTAAGTCTGGAGTTAGTGATCAGGAGGGTCAGCCCATCCCAGAGAGGGACAGGGGACATTCTCCATTTAAAGCCAAGTATTCTCTCCCTTCTCTGTGAATTCTGCTGTAACCCAGACATCCTGGGGGCCAGATGCACAGTGTCCAGGGGTGGGACAGATGTACAGTGTCCTGGGGTGGGGCCCTAGTCAGTTCTGGGGGCGCTCACTAGTTTATCCTGAGGCTTTGACTGGTCCCCAGTATCCTGGGTACTTACTGGTGACACAGGACCACGTAGGTGAGGTCAGTGCCCAGACCCTGTGACCCTGTGTACTGGGTGAGGCTCCCCACACTGCGTGCCCATGACCAGGACGTGCTGGTGAGTGCTGGTGGGTGCACAGCAGGATCAGCTCAGGTGCCCTCTGGGTCCCCAGGTCTCCTTGCCCACCCTGGGGGTCTGCAAAGGTCACCCATAATCCAGGGTACAGGAGAGGGTCCAGGCAGGAGTTAGAGGACACTGTGGGAGGTGAGGGACGGTCCACAGGAGCCCCAGAGACCT